TTACAATGATCTAAAATTTAAGACGAATTGAGAGCTGCTAGCAATATCTCTGCTCGCCCTACACCATGTATCACTGGTAAAATCTATCTGAAATCACCTCCGAACACAACTACTTTACAAGCAAAGACCTGATTGTGTATGTTTCCCATTATATCAGAAAAACTCCTATCTAAAGACTCAAAACAATACTTGCTCATCATTGGTGCTTCGTCCCAGATAATGAGAGATGCTTCTTTAATAAGATTTTCCAGATCAGTGGTAGGCTTTATCTTACAAAGAGAATAATCGTCTACTACCAGAGGTTTACCAAATCTTGAATGTGCCGTCCTACCTCCTTCTAACAACAAAGAAGCAATTCCACTGGATGCAACGTTAAGTACTATCTTCCCCCGACATCTAATAGCAACGAATATAGTCTTCCACATGAAGGTTTTACATGTTCCTCAAAAACCATAAACAAAAAAACACTCCCCCCTTGTCCTCTAAAACAGACTCAGTTATCTCATTGTAGATTGCTCTTTGCTCAGACGTATGCATTTGAATCCACTCATCATGCTTTCCTTTCAACTCATCTTGATCATACATGATTCCATGCGATATAACCATTAAGTGAATTACAAAAATTATTAATTTAAAGAAAAAGAATATTTGCCCCGCGGTATACATAAGCTCATCAACAATTAATCGATTACAATTATCTAAGTCTTCTCTAGATGGTTGTGGGAAGTCACTAATATTTTTAAGAGAGCCTCTGTTAAACAACATAATCTTTTCAATCTCTTGAAGAGTGTAGTTTCTGATCTGAGCTACACTTAGAATTAGATCTGCATAAGAGTATATCAACTTTCTTGTGAACGTGCGTACAGCTAAACTAAAATGTGTTTGTACTATTACTAAAGAGAAGTTAAATACATGGATTGTTGAAATCTTTTCTCTTTTGGTGTTCTATGTCTTCCGTTAACAAACGTGTTCTGGTCTATCAAGTGAGTCAGATAGAATCAGCATTGCAAAAAAATTCCGGAGATAATTAGCAAAACACCATTGACTTGCATCAAGTAAACTATCAATCCAAGATTGGTCATCAGATATGATACCGCGGGCGAAGCAGACTTCTTTATAAGTTTTGTAGACAACACCAGTGTATGTCTTGATATCAGCAAAACTTTTTGGTCCCTTGAAGATGTTAAGTAATACTATTAAAAATACTCTTCTTCTAGCTTTCTTGGAGCATAGTGGATACGACACAAAGAAAAACCTCTCTTCTTTTCTTCTACTGCTTTATAGTTCCATCCCAAGTGAAATAAGCTGGGATCTCTGCATACGTACAATCTCTTGCATGTTTACCACCCTTTCCAATCCCATTTTTCCTATTCAAAGTTAGCCATGCCATGAACATGGAATCTTGATTAGCAACTCGTTCCAAGAAATCTTATATGTCTTCATTTTCATCATAATAGGCTGGTTGCTTTCCTTCATCGTGGAAAGATAGTTTCGGTACAACGGTTGATCTATGCTGAACTGGAAACTTAAATATTTTCAATACAGCCTCAGAGGATGACACGTATCTAAGATGTATAGAAAACAAACATGAAATAGTCAAATGCCGAGATGGATGTATCTACTACATAAAAAAAAGATTAAACCATGAAAAGCAATAACATGCAATCAAACAAATCCTTAATTTCATTCTTCTTTTTCTCGGGTGTATTTGAACTAACTGGATTGGATGCTGCAGTTGCTGTAGGAATATCATCCTTGTTAACTGGTTCAACAACAACAGCAACCCGGTCTGGACCCTTGCTGATATACTTATATAAGTATTTGATTGACCCATTTTGGTTACAACATTCCACATTGATATGTGCATGATATCGAACAAACATATGGAACAAAAAACAAAGCATTGTATGGTATAACATACCTATTATCACACTTAATGCCATATTTGTCAACATAATGGTCTTGTGAGCTTCACCTCCTATAAATTGGATAAGCAGCACTGCCAACTTTTGTAAACTTCTGGTATTGTTTAGGATAATTCTTTGAAAACCTTTTTGTTAAGCATACTTGGGGAATTCGGGTTTTATGCCCCACATGATCCATGAATCATAGACTCGTTGATGACTTGGTATAGCTTCGAAAAGTCATTTTTGTCTGGGATCTCTGTTGATATCATCTTGTCTATGTCATTAGCGGTTGGCAATTTGCTTTTAGCATCTATGAACAATAGAATGTGTGCATGTGGAAGACCTCTTTTCTAGAATTCAACTATGTACATAGCTAGGGGAGAAACACAAAACAATAATTGTTCAAAATCAAGTATGAAATATAGACAATGGATCATTAATATATATATATATATATATGCATATTCGTGTATAAAAAATAAACTACCTGCAACTGTTTTACCAAGCAAATGTTTGACTGTTAAATCTGTTATGAGAGAGTCGAGATTGATTTTGAACATCCTAGTAACAATATCTGGTCGATCATCTATTGTTAATCCTCATTTTTGAACGTATCTGATGATCTCAGGCCACTTAGGGTTACATGTAAAAGTGATGAACAAATCTGAAAATCCATATAGTTTACATATGGCCATAGCATCATAATAACTCTGCACCATATAACGTGGTCCTCCGGTGAAAGATGCTGGTATACATAGATTACCTTGTTCACTCAAATCCGTGTTGGCCGAACTGGTCATCGAATCAAATGGTTCTGCTACATATGAGGATTGAGAGATGGAATTGAGAGACTGTCAGAAGAGGAGACCATAGATTGAATCCGGAATCCGGTAAGTGATCAGATGAAATGTTTGTGTTTGTGTAATATTCCGAAATAAGCTTAAGTGAGACTGACTTAGACTGAGTTTTTATTGGATTGTATTCAAGAAGATGTTAGACTAAGTTTTTCATTGAATGTTCACATTTGATTTTGTTGTGTTCTGTTTGATAGTAGGAGTGGTTGTTGGCTTATCTGAGACAAATTGTACATATGGGATAAGTCAGAGGTGGTTCACAGCCTTGATTCCTTGTAAGTAAATGATTACTTGTACTCTTTTTCACAATTGAGTAGAAGATTAGGTGAGAATTAACTTGAGGTGATAGGATAGTACAAGATGATAAATACATTTGAGTGTTTGTTTTGTGTTTACAGTTGTATAGTTCTAGGTGATAGGAAAGTACAAGAGTTATGTGATAACACTAACTTGTTAACCTAACTCTATATAGATTAAAATTATCACAAACACTTAAACCTAAACAAACCCGATTCTCTTTCAATCTAAAAGAACAAATTTGTAAAGTTTTCATTCTCTTCTCAAAATGAATCCATATGCCAAATCTGTTAGTTGGCTTCATGGACCTTCTAACCAGTCAAAATGATTCTCCTAGCCTTCAGCAGCCGAGTAGTTATGACTCTCCATCACCAAGTATTAGACTTGGTGAAACAGAAGAAATTGTCTTCACAACTCAATGGTCTCAGCCAGGTTGTGAAGGTGATAAACTCACTGCTAAGGGTGTACCAAGGAAGAGGAATACATTGAGTGTCAAAGAGGATTTAGTAATAATCTTTGCATGGCTCAAAATAAGAAAAGATGCCATTGTTGGCAATGAGCAAAGAGGAGCAGACTTCTGGAAGAGGATTGCAGCATATATTGCTACAAGTCTAATTGTATCCGGTTTGAAGCAGAGAGAGCAAGATCACTGTAAACAAAGATGGCTAAGATAAATGAATGTGTATGTAAGTTTGTTGGATCTCATCAAGCTGCATCAAGTCAGATGGCAAGTGGAATGAATGATGATGATCTGATTAAGCGAGCTCACCTCATCTATGAGGGTGATTACAAGAAGAAGTTCACTCCCGAGCATGTATGGAGAGAATTGAGATATGATCAGAAGTGGTGTGCTATGCTAGCTACTAAAGGAGACGACAAGAACAAAAGAAGGAAGGTTGACTCATCTTCTATGCATGAATCTGAAGATCAAGGAGACACTCAAGCTCAAGGAACATCTCTAGGTTCTCAACCTAAAAGAGCATGAGTTGAATGATATATTGTCAAATAAGAAATTGTTTGACACTCTACTAGCTAAATCTGGTCCTCTTTCTCAGTTAGAGGAAGAGCTTAAAACAAAGGTAATTAGAGAGATTATCTTTTGAATCTCTTATGGTTTGAATCTCACAGTTTATGGTTGTTTGTTGTGTTTATCTTTTTGTAATGCTGTTTCCCTTGATCTTGTATTGTTTGTTGTGTTTGTGTTTATGTTGTTTGTTGTGTTTGTGTTATGTCTCTATTTGACAATCAATGTTCACTTTATTTATGTGTTATATGTGCTGGTGGTATATGATTGTGTTGAGGATATGGTTCACGTGAAGGATTTGATTCACTAAAAGTATGTCATAAAATATGGTTCACTACTGCTATGTCATAAAATTTGGTTCACTACTGTTATATCATCAAAATTTGGTTCACGAGAAAGAATTGGTTCACTGCATACATTGTTTGTGTTATGAAAGTGAAGATATTTGAGTTGGCCTTATTGACTTTATTGTTATTGGGTATGTAGGTTCACGGGAAACTGGAAGAAGAAAACAAAAAGTTGTAGAGACTCGTGGGTTACTTATGAAGCTGGTGGTTAACATACAAGTTCACTGTCTCTTCACGGATATGACATCGCACACTTTCATCACTGATGGGTTCACGGACACAGCACTACAATTGTATTCATCGCTATAAATATGTATCAAGTGATTTTCACAATTGTATTCACTTTCTCTTTCACAATTGTATTCAATTCCTTCTTCCCACAATTGTATTTACTCTCTCGTCAATACACTTGTATTCACTCTCTCTTCAACACAATCTTATTTTTCACAACAACCGAATCAATAATACCAGTTTCTTATCCCACAAGAATATTTTCTTCACTTTCTTATTATCACAACCAAAACAGTATTATCATTTTCTTATCCCACAAATGTTTTATATACTTTCTTATTTAACTACCAAACCTCAATCTAAAAAATTCTACATTGATTTGGGCAGAATCAACATGCTCTGTTTGATTGCTTATAAGATGACTATCAAACTCTTCGTCAGTACTACTGTAGTCGTAGATTTGCTCAACTGTTTCGTTGTCAGAGAAGTAATCTAAGTATTCTTCTCCCATTGTTTCGTCAGACATGCTAGTCTCTGATAAACCATCTCCCATTCTACTGCCATGTTCTGTTAAGATTTAGTAGATGTGAGTATTAGGAAAACAGTCATTATTGATTGATGTTCTGTAACTGAATAAGTAGACTCTAGTTTCTTGTATCTTTACGATTCTGATTTTGAGGCGTTGAAGCATTTGTGAAAGCTCTTTGCAGGTTATTTATGGGGAACACAGTGGTTGCTGCTGAAGACGAATTACTTGGTACACGTTTTTTCCCTATAGAAGATGGTATTTTATTTAGAATTTAGTAAATGCTTCAAGCACCAGTATTAATCTTAGTCGTAAAGGTATACATAACTTTGTTGTGTTTTCAAGTAAATCAGTAGTACAACTGCCTCTGCACATTGTATTGGTTATATCAGTGAGAACACTATATTTGTGAATGGTTGACTGGCTGTTTGTGTTTTGAAACATGTCTGTGATTGTACTCATTGGAGTGTGACCTGAGATTAATCATATAAATGGTAGTTTGTATATTGCATAAACGAACCCCAAAAAATAGTACTTAGATTAATATGTGTACCTGTTGGTGTGAGCAACTCAGTAGAGGGTGTCGCTTCCATCTGTCTTTTTCTCTTGGCCTTGTTTTCTAAGTGACATTCTGATTGTTTAAGTTAATGTATACTTATGAATGACATAACTTTATATAACCAGTGTTTGGTGAATTGTAGTGTATACCTTTGTTTTTTTGTGCTTGGCTGGGAACTGATCTGGTAACATCAGTTGTTGTTGATGGCAGGTTTGCATCATTAAGTTCTCTGCAGTTAGTTATATTTCTGAAGACACGGCTGAAGGCTGAATTCAGTGAAACTGTAGCAACATTTGGTGTGGCTGTTTGAGGTTCGTTTCCACTGTGTTGTTCAGATAATGGCGATGTTCGAATTCTCTTATTTGGCTTTGTTATTGTTCTATCTTTATCTTTCAGTTGTTCTTTCTGAAAGAGATTATTGAGCGTGTGAAACAGGAAAGGGTTTTTTAAAGTAAAGATGAGAGATATTTACTTTGTTTTTGTGATATAATTTGTATCTGATTTTGTAGTTGATTTGGTAACTAAATCTTTATTGTTAGTCGCACGTTACGTTTAGGTGTTTTTAATTTTCTGTACAATATATCTAAAGCAATCTTTTTAATTTTAACAATAACTACTGAATCTTTAAACATAATTATATTGTATAGTCACTAACAAATAGGTTCTAGTTCAAGTGTTTTTACTTTGAACAATCCCGTGGTATGAGTCTGATCTTAATATTTCTTTAAGATTGATGCTATCTACATTTTATTGGTTTAGCTGTGTTTATATAACTCTATCAGGTTTGGAGGATTTTGTAAGAATTAGATTAAAAGCCGTTTTTTTTGTGTGAGTGTAATGATTCAAACGAAAATGTTTGAAGATGACTTAAGAATAAGAAACTTTAACTGTCATACACCACACGAGAGGCGAGAGCCATGGACAAATATAACGTTTTAGTGCTTATTCTTATCTCTTTGGATCTCTCTGGATGCTTATTTTTTATCCCTCTTATCCCGCAATGTGTTGTTCCTTACAATTATGTGGCTACGTTAATCAGTTTCAGTTTATTATGATTAGAGGGAATAAGAAAGATTTGAGAAACCCTCTTGAAGCTACGACGGGAACTGCTATCAGGTTGTGTTAAGGTATTTGGTTAGCTAATTGAACATTTATGAATTATTTGGTTTCTCAATTATACAAACAAAATTATATAGTCTTCATTAGAAAAACCCCAAGCTTAGAAGGCAATTTTTGAAACTTTAACAAACATAAATATTTTTATGATTAAAACATGTAAACCTGAAATCTTCAATCAGCATTGCGAATTAAAAAAAAAAGCACAGATATATTAAGTGAACTTTATTATATTAAACCGAAAATTAAATTGGTATTCTTACCATGCCTTATAGAATGAAAATAAAATAACCATGAACTAATGGCATATAATCCATGCCTTATTAAACGATTTGGAAAAAATGTAATTCCTAAACTTTGCAAAGGAAATTAACCTAGAAATATAGTTCACCATTTTAAGAGAATCACGTGCACATTATTTTTTTTTTATCGTGATCTTCACACCAGTGTTCTTCTTCAAATCCATCATAGTCTCCTTGCTCCCAACAATTTCGATGGTTTTACTTTCAACCTTTTCTGAAACATCAGTAACCTTATCGTCTTCAAAGTTCAGCTTCGCCGCCTTTAACCCTTCTTCTTCTGCTACATTTTCCAGCGCGTTTTGGGGGAGATATATCCTTTTTGTTACGGATGATTGTTCCGCTTCATCAGCATTGAGTGCGTATACACGTTTTGAAGAAGGTGTACCAAAGTCACTGGGATCTTGACTATAAGTCAAAGAAAGGGGAACCTTGAAATTCAAAATTTCATATTAGAATAACAATAAGTAGAATTTGTAAGGGTAATTTTTAAACCTAGTGAAGTTATAAATTTATATACAGTGAACTTGCATTAAGGATGTGTTACCTGGTCTCCTGAAACAATGGAAGCTGGATTAACTATTTCATCTGATTCCTCTTGCATTTGCTCTGCTAGAAGACCATCCTTAGAGAGTAATTTAGTAACCCGGTAGGAATCCTTACCATCCCAAATCTTCTCTCTCCCAACACAAACCAAGAAGGCAAATGTTTTACCAATCAAATTTCTAATTTGATCTGGTATGTTTTCTGGATCTGCTATCTGCGATTATGCAACGGTTTTGGTATTATAATCATTGAAATCTAGTTACAAATAAGTAAAAAAGTTATAATGTACTTCATCTAGTGATCCAGCAAGAATGGAGATTGCAGATTCTCCAATAAGCTCTGAAGCAATGCTGTCAAACAAAAGGAGTTTGGTTTCTCCTGTAGAGTCCATGACTTTAACATATAGCATATACCTGATCAATTTTAGAAAAACATGTCTTTATATATGGTCGGAACATCATTAGGTAAAAAATAGCTATTATTGTGTAATGGAACAAACCTTGCAATGACGCTAGTCACAACGGTCTTGCACACATCACACCAGAACTTAGGTTTCTTGTTAAAACCATTACCATCGTTGGCCCCTGCAGTATGAATATGAATCACTTTTTTGTTGCAATTACGGCAACTGAAATAGTACCAAGCCCAATCCGTGTCGATTGCGTAGACAGTACACATTAGCCTTATTTTTCCCACCTGTACAGAAATGCCATTTTAATTAACTACTCTTGACGACGTTAATATGATTGTGTTATGTAATGTAACTCTATTAGACTTGGAGACCAACCTCGACCAAATCCAGTATCCCTGCAATCGTTTTCCTTTGAAATTGACTACTGTCGTCATTATTAACAGTGACAATTTGATATTTTGGAATATTTTCACGATAAGTAAAGGAGAGACCATCAGCTGGTAAACTGGGAAATAAAAAAAAACTAATTATTACAGAGATGTATGCGTATACCTTTCTCTTTAAAAATACGGAAGTGTAAACTTACGATTTTATAAAGGCTTCAGTCTCAGGCCACACCGGATTGATATGCAGTTGTGATGCATCAAAAGAGTTAGAGACACTCTTATTCCCTGTATAGAACAAACGGTTTTCAATAAAGACAATTGTTTAGATATATTGACGCTTAACTTTTGCAGGTGTCACAGACAGGGTGTAATACCTTTGTAGGATTTGATTTTGGCAAACCTGAGGACACAGACGACAATGTTACCATTAGCGTTTCGGCAAGCTCTGTAAACTTGTTCAGCGAAAGAACCCCATAAGGTACATGAAAGTCTCTCATCACTACAACAAAATAATTAATGTTAGATATGTTTTTGAACGATATTGTAGAGTAAAAAAGATGGTTAGAATCAGGAAATTAGAAACGTACCTCTCATCCCTTAACTCAAAATAATTGTATTTTTTGCTATATACAAAATGGCATCATCATCTCATGATGAATTTTCATATTGGAGGAAGAATTTGATAATCTTTTTTAAGATGAATTTGATAATTCTTTGAACTCTTTGGAGGAGCATCAACAACCCAGAAAACCGAGAAAAAAGAGTCCATATAGAAAGACATCGTGAAGAAGGACACATCAGGTTATGGAACAATTATTTTGGAGAAAATGCAACCTTCCCACCTAATCTATTCCGACGTCGTTTTAGAATGGATAAGCATTTATTCATGCGTATTGTGGATTGACTAATCAATGAAATTCCTTTCTTTCCACAAAGAAGAGATGCGACCGGAAGGTTAGGATTGTCTCCACTACAGAAGTGTATAGGAGAAATTCGCATGCTTTTCGTATGGTTGTGCGGCTGATGCGGTTGGCGAATATCTCCGGATTGGTGAAACCACTTCCCTGAAATGCATGCAACATTTTGTTGACGGTATATTTTGCTTTTAAGATGAGTACCTAAGAAAACCAACCGCTGAAGATCTTCAAAGGCTACTCATTATTGGAGAGATAAGAGGATTTCCCGTGATGATGGGAAGCATCGATTCTATGCATTGGGAGTGGAAGAATTGCCCAACCACTTGGAAAGGTCAATATACACGGGCCTCGGGAAAACCAACGATCCTTTTAGAGGCTGTAGCTTCGCAAGATCTTTGGATATGGCATGCGTTTTTTGGACCTTCAGGTACTTTAAATGATATCAATATTCTTGATCGCTCTCCTGTTTTCAATGACATCTTACAAGGATGAGCACAAAAATGCAAGTATGTTGTGAACGGAAACCATTATACTTTGGATTACTATATGACAGATGGAATTTATCAAAAATAGGCTACATTTATCCAATCGATCCCTTCTTTATTTGCAATCCAACAAGTAGCTTGCCGTAAAGATGTTGAGTTTGTGTTAGGAGTATCCTTGACTATTTAACCTAGAAAGCTACATATTTGCCTATGAACAGGTTTGCTAACTTATGCTCTGTTTCTACTGTTTTGCAGGTTTAGAGTGAGGTGCAAGAAAGTAAAGAGACACAGAGATTTACAAGTTCCTTGGATCGATGTGATCCTAGTACGTCTCGGTGAACGTGAAACCGGTTCACAAGACGTATTCAGAGAAGCTATTACAACTTGAACAAACTCATCCGAAGGTCACGTCACTCACCGAACAAAGATACGGAACCCTCATGAAACAAGAACAAGAACAATGAAGAAGACAGTGTCTCTCACCCCAACTGTAAGTTTCTCTCTCTCTCACCCTTTGCCCTAATCTCTCTCTAATATAACGCCAAACGCTCCTCTTTTCACGCTTACCTTGTTCTCCTTGTTCCTCACTTCTTTAACAGAACTCTATCGCCGCCTTGCAGGTGCTACAAGATAAATTCGTACCAGACACACACCCAATGCGTGCTGTATTCAAAATGACAGAGCATATGTCATTTGTACCTGGGCAGAATCCTAAGCAGACCAAGATGGGCCTCTGTAACATTAACAGGCCCAACTCTTTAGGACAAGCCCACATGTCTGATCCAAATCACCAAAACGACAAACTCCAGCTTGATTTTTCTCAGACAGAAAAGCTGAAAAGTCAACCATCATCACCTTCACATCTCCGATTTCACCACCGGAAACCTACAGTTTCGACTTGACCGCCAGAACCCCTTTAGCTCTCAACCGAGCTAAACTCAGTGCCGTAGCACCTTCAAATTACTCAGCCCCTCCTCAAATTTCTTCACTGGTATCGATTTTGTCAACAAATCGGCCGGATTCACATATGTATGTATTTTCGAAACCTTCAGCGTACCACTCGCAATTTAATCTCTGATGAAGTAATACCTCACACGTATGTGCTTTGTTCTCTCGTGGTGTACGCTGTTCTTAGTCAAACAAATGGCGCTCTGCGAATCACAGAAGATCTCAGCCTATTCTTGCGGATAACCCTGTTCAATCACAATCCCCATCAACCACAGTGCTTCTTTGGCAGCTTCTGCAAGTGCCATATACTCTGCTTCAGTTGATGACATAGCTACTATCTGTTAAAGTCCAGATCTCCAGTTGACTGTGTTCTCACCGGCTTGGAATACATAACCGATAATAGATCTGCTTTTGTCCACGTCTGCTGCATAATCACTGTCACAGTAGCCTCTTACTTTAAAATCTTTTGATTTTGTGAATGTGAGCTTGAGATCTTATGTGTTTCTTATGTACCGCATCACCCATTTATCCGCTGGCCAATGATCTTTGCAAGGAGAGCTCATGAATCGACTCACCAGGCCTACAACATAGGCGATATGAGGGCGAGTTCCAACCATGTAGTACATAAGACTGCCCATCGCACTTGCATAAGGTATGTCTCTCATCTCTATCTCAGCTTCCTCTTTAGCATCAGGCTTAGTGCTAGAAAGCTTGGAATGTGTACCGATTGGGGTCAAAACAGGTGCAGCATCAATCATTCTGAAATTTGCTAGCACCTTTTCAAGATAAGATTCCTGAGACAATAATAGAGTACCCTTACTTCTATCCATGATGATATCCATGCCCAGAATTCTTCTTGCCTTTCCGAGATCTTTCATCTCAAACTCTCTGCTCAGAACCTCCTTCAATCTAGAAATCTCTTCCATGTCTTTAGCAACCAACAACATGTCATCTACATAGAGCAGTAGGTAGACATATTGATCTCCCTGAAGACACTTGTAGTAAACACACGGATCACACTGACTCCTATAATACTTCTGAGATTTCATAAATTGATCAAACCTTCGATTCCACTGCCTTGGATACTGCTTCAACCCGTACAGAGACTTCTGTAGAGAACATACTTGATCACCCTCTGCATAACCCTATGGCTGCTCCATAAAGATTTCCTCATCCAATTTTCCGTGTAAAAATGTTTTCTTTACATCCAACTTTTTCAACTCCTGGTCTTTATGAACTACCATTGATAACACCAGTCGGATGGTTATATGCTTAACGACTAGAGCAAATATTTCATGGTACTAAATCATCCTAATTAACTTATCGAACCTCAAGGAGCAACTAATGAACCACTGGAGCAAAAACTTGATGTAGTGAATTTTACCCGATCAATTAAATTATCGAACCTCAAGGAGCAACTAATTAACACACCAAGAATACACAAGTTTTCTTAATCTAAGCTTAATAAGAGATGAGTTTTGATTTTCTAAACTTGACTAAGAATACAATTCAAACTAAATGCAAAGCAAGACAAAAGAAAGCAAGATGCAAATGACTAACAAGATTCGAATTAAAACAAAGCGGAAAAAGACAATTACTAAACAATAATTAAAAGACGAATTCTCGGGTTAAGACAATTAACTAGAATGACAAAGAGATGGGTTATGGAGGCTCAAACAACTTCTAACAAAGAATGATCCTTAGGCCATAGAACAATAAGCAAGACTAACACATTTCCATGAGATTAATCCCTTTACTAATCAATCAATTATCAACTTCTTTCAAAGGCAGTCAAATGATCAATAAGCATTATAAACAAGTCTATCTAACCACTAATCATCCTAATCAACAATTTCCAAATGCTAGGAATGAAAAGCACTTAAAAGTTTTGGTTCGGGAATTTCATCGACAGCTCCCGGGCGTGAAATTCCTAAGTTCTAAATCAACATAATTTGGGTTGATTTAGCCTTATTAGCAACCAATAAGCAAGGATCCTAAACAATCTAGTCCTAAACTCCATAACCCAACTACTAAATCATCCTAATCTACCAAAACCCAAGAACTCTAAAAGACTACTCACTCATGATCATGTAACCACAAAGCAATGAAATTGATCTTTGAAGAAACATAATTAGAGAAAAGTAGAAGATAAAACTAAAAGAGAACAAGATTAAATTGCATAAATGTACTTAAGATTCATACAAGAATTCCAAAGATAGAAAAGAAATTGAAAACAAGCACAAAAGATAGCATACGATCCATATTTTTAGGTCTTGAAACACTTATATAGTAAAAGAACACGATCCTGGTCAACCCGAGATGAACCGGGTCAAACCCAAAGTCTTCATATTCAACTGGTCGATTGTGAGGTTGGTTGAAACCTTCTTTTAGCGTCTGTTTCACTCCAACCGACCAGTCAATCGACCTGTTGGTGGATTGGAATTCTCGATGGCTTCTATCTTCGTTCTGGATGGATATACCTTCACTAAATCAGTCAGAACTCATGCACCGTAACTATGATAAGCCTGAAACCACCAGCGTTGGAAAGCTAATTAGATTTCCTATCATTTTGTTTCAGAGCTTCAAAGCTAAATCACAAGTTAAAGCCTTTATCCCAATCGATCTTTGAGAGACTTTGGACTGGATCTGCATCATCAATTCTCCTCTTTGCATTCAAACATGTGTCTTCTATTATTTGAATCTGAATTGACTTAAAAGACATCCAAAACACACTAAACCACACTCAAAGACACTATATGGTTCTAAAAGGCAAGAAGACTCATTTAGACACGAAATGCAACAAAACCCAATGAAAATACAATTGAAACATAATAAAAAGGATAATAAAAACCTTAATAAAGCTGTAAATATGATGTGTATCAACTCCCCCAGACTTGTCTTTTGCTTGTCCTCAAGTAACATTCTAAATAAAGATCAAGAGAGAAGCTTGAAGGAGGAATTCAATAACCACAAAATATCAAACAAATGATTCAAACCAAAGTCCTCTAAGATAGTTCAAAGGTGCTTGAATCAATCATCGTACTTTCAAATATTTCCTCATACTCAAGTTAATGGATAATTCTAGTTCAATCTCAAACTATTAGCAAAGACTCACAATCAAGTTGAAATATCTCTTTCACATTCATTAAGGTGTTTGGCGCGGTCTCGCAAATGGTAAGTGAATCAATCTCAATCGGTTTAGGGCAAAGGCTTTTTGAGATGGCTTTGTTTGTTTGTTTCTTTGGGTGACTAACTCTCAAATGAAACGAATGCTAGACAGTCATGAAATCTATCTAAGACCAAGAACAATTTATGCATACAAAGATTAGCTCTTGTTGTTCCACCCATCTTAGATATAGGATCCTAATTTCTACCCTTTGCAAACCTTTTTCTTTTTCTTTTCAAACCACACCCATTGGACACTTTTGGTCTCTTTTCTTATCAAAACACAACCCTCATGATCAAAACTTTATTATTCAATAGCCACCTAGGGAACCCTTTCTTTAAACACTAAGCTCTTATTTAATCCAACTTTCTTTGTCAACCTTTGCAAAAAAATTTCTTTTTGGGAGACTATCTTACCCAATTCTTTCTTTTACTTAGATCTAGAGCTTCCTTTCTTATGACTTTAATTCCCTAGGGACTCCTTTTAAACTCAATGATCAAGCCTTTCATCTTCAACCTTTTCTTTTTCTTCTTTCTCCAAAATCCAACCCAAATGTACAATCTAACCACCTATCTCTTTCATTCCCTTCCTAATAACTAGCTCCAAAATTTCCAAATACTAGCTAAAACAAGAGCTAATACCTTGTCGTTCTCGATTCTCTCAAGATTTCACAATCTATAACATTATCAAGAAGAGGTCTCACTCACAAATCATTTCATGGGATGAAAAGAAAGGTTAAGGTTAAGGGTAAAGGGGACTTTTGAATCATTCAAGAGAGTGGTGAAAGGGTATATGATTTGATTAAGAAATATTTACCATGAGAATGCATTCAAAAACCATAAGCGAGAGGATTAGATTCAAATTAAGTCCAAATACATAGAGATGCTTCAAAGATCATGTAAGTTTCACACAAGAAGAGATTGCTTTCCAAAGATACAAAGGTCTAAGCATGAATTTTCATTTCTTTCCAAGATGATCAAGCAACAATGAACTATGATCGAGGGCTTTAATTTCAGTCATAAGATTAAATTTCAACAAGGTATATGAATCATCACTTTCAATGCTTGTGCAAATGCAAGCTATATGCTACTAGACTCAATCCTAGAGATATAGATGACTATGCAAAATTACATGCATCTTTTGGATTTTTCAATTTTTTTTTTTGATTTTTCTCAAAACAAAGCTATTAACAAATGCAAGACTCAAGAGAAATGAAAAACAAAACAAAACACATCATTAGATACCTAGTCCCTCCCCCAAACTTAATTCACAAAGTCTCGGTGTGATAAAAAAAATGAGGAAGAGACTAACAAAAAAAAAACTAAAATGAGACTCAAAGCGGTATATACAATGGAAGGTGAGGCCATACCTTGGCCCTAGTTGGGAACCTTAGGGAGTAGAGTGAGAGGAGGAGTGGAACTCCTTGGTAGGCTAGTTGAAGGGGTTGAAAGAGTGTGGAGGTGGGAATGGTTGGACCGTGTTCCACCATTGAGGTTGATGGTGATGACCCTTGAGAGGAACTCTTGAAGTCTATCTTGGTCGTTTTGAAGTTCGGGTTGGATTCTTGCTTTGACACTTGCAAAAGGAGTAGAAGAACCCTTACACTTCACCTTATACTCAATTTTTCCATCTATTAGCTTCAAGGGATGCAAGCTCATGGTGTTAGAGGAAGGAACAAAGTTGGGAGGGTGGGTTTGTTTCTCCTTCCTCTTGTTGGCTTCAAGGCCTCTCTTAGCATCCAAGATGTTTTCATCAATCTTTATGGTCTCTTTATTCCTCACATTAACAACTTTGTTATCTCCATGTTGATAAGTCAAGTCTCTAGTCACTTTCTTACTCTTCATGTCTTCATGTTAAGAAGCCAAGCTAGTGATCTTACCATTAAGAGCATTGTACATCTCATCCATCTTGTTGTGCATATCGACACATCTCTTACCAAAATCCATATAAATCTTTAGTTTGGCCTTCTAAAACTCGATTCAACATGGAATTCACTTCATTATCTTGTGGAGAAGGTTGAATATAAGATTGTTCTTGGTTTGAGAATTGAGACCTTGGTTTGAATCCTTGCTCTTGTTGAACTTGGAATGGTCCCTCTTGTGAATATCTCCATGTGTAGTTGGCTCGTGGTATTTCTAAAGACGATTGATCATATATCTCATTGCACCTTTGATCGATTTCGGCCAAATTCTCAACAAGTAACTCTCCTTGTTCGATAGTGAGATTTACAAAACTTCCTTTGCTAGCCACGTCCAATCTCCACTTTAGCTCCTTACTAACTCCCCTATATAAAATACTAAGGATATCTTTCTTGTTGAATCCATGATTAGTGCAATCTCGAGTATATCCCTTAAGTCTTCCCCATGCTTCGTAGAAACTTTCATTGATTCTTTGCTCAAAGCCCATTATGTCCTTCCTCACTTTGGCCATTCTTTGCTTAGAGTAGAATTTGAGAAGAAATATCCTCTTACAAAAATCCCAAGAGTTGACCAAATGTGATGGTATAGCTCTTTCCCATCGGCTTGCTTTTTCTCCAAGAGAAAATGGAAACGAAATGAGCTTGATACTATCATCGGGCACACCTCCAATCCTAAATGTGCTACACAACCTCTCAAAGGAGTCCAAATGATCATATGGATTCTCCATAGCTAGTCCCAAGAATTGAGAGCCTTGAATCAATCGAATCAAACTTGGCTTGATTTCATAAGCATTAGCTTCTATTGGAGGAGGTCGGATTCCATATCTTGACTCATGACAGTG